GAGTGATTCCCTCCGCACGACACAACTGGCCAAGTTGACCGGAGGCGAACTCGCCACCACGGTCGGAGTGGAGACGCAGCACGTGGAGGCCATGTTGGACTCGTGCAACTATGACCCACGGGATAAGAACGTCAGGCATGTCGGCCTTCCGCTCCAAGGGAAACACCGTAGTGTAGCGCGTGTAGTCGTCGATAAGCACTAGAAAGTAGCGCTCTCAACGCGGCCCTGGGACAGGGCCTGGGCCCCAAACGTCCATGTGCAGGGTCTGGAGTGGAGCAATGGTAGAGGGGAGCAAGGAGGAGTGAGGAGCATGGCGCAGCTGGCCCTCGACGTAAGGCGTGCACGGTGGTGCAGGCGAGGGAGGGAGGGTAGGGAGCAATGCAGGGAGACTGAAGACTAGCTCGTGATGTGACATATAACACAGACGCGGAAGTGCGGGGTGACCGGCGGGGCAAGTAGAGGGAGCTTACCGTCGACATGGATGGCCAAGGAGTGGCCGTCCTGGCGCTGCCCGGTCAGCTGGAGGCGGAGGTTGACGTGCCACGCCTCAAACTCAACGGCCTGACCCTCCGCGTCCAGGCAAAGCAGAGAGTCCGCCATCACCATGGCTGCAGCAGCTGACTGCCACTGACAAGGGGAGGAGGGAAAGCGGAGGAGGGCAGTGGAGAGCGACGGTGAGTAGTGGAGAGCAGTGGAGTATGGTGGAGTGTGGTGGAGTGTGGTGGAGAGCGGTGGAGACTGCCGGCGGGAGCACCGGCTCAGAGGGGAAGCCAAGGTCGGCAGGTCAGCTCGGCTCGGCGGTGGGAAGGGCCGGGGCGGGCTGGGACCGGCGGAGCTGTGGCCGGCGGTGTGGGAACGGCGGCTGGCGGCTATGGGCGGGCGGCTACAGGCGGGCCAGCGGCTACGGGCGGGCTGGCGGCAATGGGCGGCCAGCGGGGACGGGTGGCTAGCGGCTACGGGCGGCTGGCGACTACGGGCGACCAGCGGCTACGTGCGGCTGGCGGCAGCAGGCGGCCTGCGGGGACGGGCAGCTGACGGCAACGGGCGGCTGGCGGCAACGGGCGGCCAACGGATACAGGCGGGCTGGTGGCGACGGGCGGCCAGCGGTGACATGCGGCCAGCGGCTACCGGCGGGCTGGCAGCGACGGGCGGCCAGCGGCGAAAGGCGGCCAGTGGCTACAGGCAGGCTGGTGGCGACGGGCGGCCAACGGCGAGAGACGGCCAGCGGCGACGGGCGGCTGGCGGCTACAGACAGCGACAGGTGGCCAGCGGGCTACGGGGAGCTGACGGCTATGGGCGGCAGTGACGGGCGGCGGGCAGCTGGCGACGAAGGGCGGCCAGCAGGCTGGCGGCTACGGGAGGCTGGAGGCTACGAGCGGCCAGCGGCGACATGCGGCCAGCGGCTACGAGCGGCGACAGGTGGCCAGCAGGCTACAGGCAGCTGGCGGCTACGGGCGGCAGCGACGGTCGGCTAGGAACGGGCGGCTAGCGACGGGCGGCTCGGGCTATGGCTAGGACTAGGATGGAAGCACGGGTGGGCGGGATCCTAACCTAGCGTGATATCATCTCAGAGTAGAAAGATTGTCTAGAATGATGGGGTACAAGGGAATATAACCTAAGGTGATGTACTCTCTAAGAGTACGCACCTATCTAGCCTAAAGTAACATATACACATATGTTTGACAGCCAAAACGCTGCGTCACCCCTGCCACAGCTGAACCTTGGTTTCCCCACTTTGTCGTTGGGTTACAGTGCATGTTTTGTTTTGTGCTGTTTGGTTGGTCACGAATTTACCGTTTTCACAACACTATAATGGAACACGTCCCATGCCCAGGCTCGATCTGGCAGCTTGTCCCGTCGATTTTGCACATTGAGCTCGCGAAATGAGCGATTGTCACATTGAGCCGAATGTCGCCCCCCTGAATAAACAAAGTCGAGAGCATGACATTACATCTAAGGTGTGTTTCTTACAGTTCTGAAACTTGGCAAGTTCCAGAACTCGAGTAATGATAAGTTTCGCTTCGCTGCACATCGCGACAAGGCTTCGCAAATTCCTCCCCCCAACCCAAGCGTAAATTTTGCCAATTCTGGAAGCAGTTATGGAATTTCGAGAATTGGAACAGTAAGACACAGGCCCTAAGAGCGAGGGGCAGGCCGCAGATGACATTGTCGGCATAATTGATGGAGGGAGGTGGGGGGGTTGGGGGGATGGGGGGGGGGGGGTTTGGGTTGGTGGAAGGGGGGGGGGGGGGGGGGGGGTGGGGAAGGGGTGTCAGCTCTAATTCGTACGCTGATTGGTTGCGGAGGACTCGGTCTTGTTCTTCTGGGTTCTGGTCTTCATTGGTTCTGGTCTCTAGGCTGAGGGGGGTATGAGGGAGGTAGTGTAATTCTGGTTGTGGGGGAATGGTTGCGAACTGCTCTAGCAGGAATATCTCTGGCTGCAGGGGACTTCGCAACAAATTCCTGGGTTGCGAGGGGTGTGGAGGGGATGTCTCTGGCTGCGGGGGACTTAGCCAAAATTCATTGGGTTGCGAGGGGTGTGGGGGGGATGTCTCTGGCTTTAGGGGACTTCGCAAAAAAATGCTGGTTGCGGCATGGTTGGGGGGGGGGGGGAGGAAGGGGAAGCACTCTACCGTTGGCAGGGAAATATCTGCTAGTAATTTTGGAATATCTTTTTTTAGGGTGCATACGTGATATGACACTGGCACATCAGTGTCGACCCACAAAAACTCTATGGAAAATCAGTGTCCTTACATAAAACGACCTTGAAAAATTAGGGTCGACCTCCTCCCCTAGGCTGAAAATCCATGGTCCGTACATCAAAACACCATGAAAATCAGCAAAATTAGGAGAAAATTCTTGAAATCTCAGGGCCTGGGCTCAGTCAGCCTTTCCCTCTGGTGTGAACTTCATAAGAGGCCTACCCTCCAACCCGGTTGTGCCACACCCTGGACCCTAAGAATTGCCCCTCTGTAGGCATACAAAAGCAGCCACAACTGTCTCATCTGGGGCTGCCTGGTTTAGCATTAAAAAATATCGGCTTCTTGCGCTACTCGGACTTGGTGGCCATTGAATGGCTGGACATCCAATTTGAAGATGAAGCTATGTGGCTTCTCATCCCCACTCAAAAACCGACCAAGCCGGCCAAGGCACATGGATTCCTATCGCGGCAAGCCCCGGACCCTTTTGTCCGGTCCAGGGCACCCAGAGGCTGACCCAACTCGCAGGATACAGGCCCCAGTCTCTGGGACCGCTCAACCGGGTCTTCGGACCCCACCTACCGAGCCACGGCATAGTCAGACCACCCTCATATACCACAATCCGCAACTGGTGCAAGAAAGCCTTTGCGAAGATCGGTTTGGGAGAGCCACACCTAGGCACCCACTCCTTTCGGAAATGTGCGACCACGGTTGCTGCCAAATCTGGGGTACCTGACAGGATCTTCAAATGCTTGGGCTGTTGGTGCAGTGAAACCGTGAAAGAGATGTACGTCACGCCCACGACTGATCATCTGGTTGGCGCATCTCGTCGCCTGCAAGACCCGGCGGCGGCACCCACTTTCGGACAAAACGCCGAAGCACTTTGTTCGCCACCGCAAGCCCTCACTGCACATGTCTCAACGACCCCACTTGAAATGAGAACGATGCATATTGCACAGGACAAGAAAGCAAGATTCCTCAATATTATATTTTTTAAACACATGCAGTGTTTTTCAAGATTGTCTATTGTGAGAGCAAAGCTGATTGTACTGAAGCTTTTGGGCATTGTCGAAGCGTGCTACTCGTCCTCTCCAACTACAAATACTTGGGTTGAAGCTCATTTACCTCCACCCACGTCTCTCATTTTTCAAACGGCTCAGTCCACTTTCCCACCAACCCCCCTCTCGACAACCGTGCATCTTCGATTGCCAGCCAGTCACTTGAACGGGAGCGCACAACTACGATCATGATGTATGTATGTTTATATTCTTACAAGCTAAGAGCCTTGTTGTGCCTAAGCCACTTGAAGTGAGGACGATGCCTTTTGTGAAGGACAAGAAAGCAAGCTTCCTCAATGTTGACAAATGTGGTCGGGGCATGGAAAGGTGCGAAATGGTGATCGAGTACGAACTACCATGCAACAGTCTGCGCATGTTTGCTGAAAATAAATTCAGGCATTGGAACAAGAAACGGTGTTACTTTGTAAAAAAAACACCCTTTTGGCAATAGAGGTAATTTTTTTATTTTCCATTTCTTCAATTGTCCTAGGTTGGACCACTTTGTATGATACATTTGTGACGCTTGTAACTCTGTCTAAATCCCAATAAGAATGTGCTTGATCGAATTGCAGGGAGCAGGCGACCCCTTCACGCCATTTTACCCAGCAGTTGCGGGTGTGCTCTTGCGACCGTACCGCAGCACTAAACAGTATCCATTTGAACCACACTGAACCACAGAGACAAAGCTTTGCACCTGCTGCCCAGCTGCCCACTGCCAGCAGCCAGCTAGCAACTTGCCACCAGCAGCGTGTCACCAGCCACTCACTGCCTGCAGCTCGCCACCTGCAGCCTGCTACTGCTCCTCGCTACCTCCACTCGTTGCCTCCACTCGTTGCCACCACTTGTAGCCCACCGCTTCCACTGCCCACTCGCTCGCAGCCTGTTGCTGCCGCCCCGCTGTTACCATCACTAGCACCCTAATACTGCCGCCATCAGCTGCCGCCGCCCACGAGCAGCCCGCTGCTGCAGTCATTAGCAGCCTGCTGTTGCCGTTATTAGCAGCCATCTGCTGCCGCCATCTGCTGCCCACTCGCAGCCGGCTACTGTCGCCACTAGCAGCCTCCCGCTGCCACCGCCAGCTGCCACCGTCCGCGGCTCCTACTGCCGCCTACTGCAGCTCGCCGCTGCTGCCACTGCTTCTCCTCACAGCCAATTGCCAACATGGTGACCCCGCCTGCCTCTGTCCCTCGCCTAGACGCGGAGGGTCGTGCGCTTGGCTTCTCTGCTTGGCTGGTCGCCCTCCGCCACCCGCTCAAGTCTATTTGCCGGGACGTCCAAGCCCAGGTGGCCCACACTTTGGGCATATTTCCCACTCTCCCAGAGCCCGCCGCTCTTACTGCTGACGTGATGTCCGAGCAGCGAGCGACGCACAAGAATGCCCTAGATGCCCTCTTTCCTGGCTCACAAAGCACCTTAGCCACAATAGACTTCACCCTCGATAGTGGGGCCACTCACACTGTTCTCAAGAAAGAACACTCCTTCAAGCCATACGAGTCACCTATCTGTCTACTAGGAGCAGACTCCAGTTTCACAACACATGCCAAGGGCTCCTCCACAATTCCGTGTCCAGCTTTCCCTTTGGACAGTGTCACCGGCATGTGTGTTCCCACACTACGCCACAATCTCGTGGCCCAACACGAGCTCCAACGGGCAGGCGTCACCACGATCTTCCCAGCACACTCGGATCACTAAGACCTCCTCGACCCTAAGTCCAACAAGCTCCTAGCATGCTTTGTTAGTATTAAGGACGGAGTCTAGGTGAACTTAGGAGCTAGAATTACTCAAAATATAAATCCGAAATTCTGGACAGAAAAGTCGTCTTCACAAGAAACGACGTCGACGAAAACCTAGCCGTTGGAATGTCGCGAAACTTGGATATGTTGTAGCTCTTAATCTCAGCTACCGTTCCAAATTTGAATCATGTTGATTGATGAAGTATTCGCGACGCTATGGCTTTCGACGCATTAGGGGGTAAGCTGTAGGAGGAGAACTTAACTCAATCTCAAGAGTTCAATCAAAGTTCAAGAATCTCACAAGAAATTAGAAGGAGCAAGAGAAAGGTTGGGATAGGAAGAGAGGGATGAGAGGGGAGGTCCCAAGAGAGTCCCCAACCAAGGAAACCCCATAAGCACAAAGATTCCCTCCCTATAGGAACCTCAACTTTGACCTTTGTCCCTTCCCAACCAATCCATCCAAGTTGGCCACCCTTGCCAACCTAGCTTGGTTGTTCCCAACCTATTTGCAGCTGTTACAGTAGAGTGACAAGTTTCCCCAACCCCAAAGGTCCCAACTCCATATAAAGTCACCCCACAATTTCACTTAGTAACCGCCGCAATTGTAACGCAAGTTCATGAACTTTGAATCTTCATAGCTTTCGCGTTCTTGCTCCGATTGAAGCGATTCTTGTTGCGTCGGAAAGATCTTCTCAAGATCTATTATCACAAATACCTGCTCAAACAAAAATAACACAGAACACATTCCCAAACTCCAGAACACACCACACACAAATGCTTGCACATTCAAACCACACATGCAAGTTGAAAAAACATGGGATGGGAGGCAGACAGAATGTGATAGCATATGATGACATCACACAACAATCTCCCCCTCTGGCTGCCAACCATCATCGACCATACCACATCTCAAGCATGCATACTCAATGCACACTCATCCCAGCAAGCTTCATGCCCTTCCAATGATCCGCCTCCGCCAGACGCTTAGTGAAAATATCTGCTGCCTGCTGATGGGTCTTCACTATCTCCAGCCGCACCTCCTTATCAAGGAGTCTCCTCACCCAATGCCACTTAGGCCTTATGTGTTTTGTCAGCCCATGTAGACAAGCATTCTTGGCCAGCTTCACTGCAGACTCATTGTCACAGAACACAACTGTCGGCTCCTCCTGACCAACTCCCAACTCCTCCAACAAACGCCTCAGCCATACCACTTCCTTGGCCCCATGGTGTAAGGCCATGTACTCAGTCTCACATGAAGACAATCCCACCTCATTTTGCTTCTTGCTGCGCCAGCTCACAGCACCACCTCCTAGCAAGCACACATAACCCCCAATGCTGGTGCCATCCGCTTTCACTGAGTTGAAGCTAGCGTCAGTATAGCAACTCAAGAGCATCTCTCCACTCTTCACATCTGCAGCACCTCTCTGCAACCGCTGCCTCACTCCACTGTACTCCAATCCCACTGATGCCGTAGCACTCACATAGCGGACCAACCTCTTGGCCGCTTCCAGCTGCTCATGACTAGGACGTGAAACCACGCTAGCCAGTCGTGATGTAGCAAATGCAATGTCAGGCCGTGTATGATTTGCAGCATAATTCAGCGACCCAACCATCGAATGAAACAGCTTCCTGTCACTCTCACCCACTACCTCCTCATCAGCACATGGCTCCACAGTAAACCCTGAAGGTAGTGGTGTTGCTGGCTTTCCCCCATCTTGCAGCCCATACTTCTCAGCCAGCCCCTCACAGTACTTCCTCTGGTGCAACCTCAGCACACCCTTTTCCACATCTCTCTCCACGTGCATCCCCAAGTAGTACTTCACCTCACCCATCTTGGAGCACTTGAACTGCATCTCCAGCATCTGCTCTGCGCTGTCCAGCAAAGCAGTGGATGCAGAAAAGAGAAGGATATCATCCACATACACCAAGAGCATGAGGATTTCATCCTTCTCCTGCAGCAGGAACAGGCTGGGGTCACACTCACTCTTCTTGAAACCCCCAGCCAACAGCGCCTCCTCCAACTTGTGATACCATGCACGAGGCGCCTGCTTAAGGCCATAGATTGCCTTCTTCAGCCTGCAGACCCTGCCGCTCCCATCATCCAGCCCCTCTGGCTGCTTCATGTACACCTCCTCCATAATGATCCCATTCAGAAAAGCAGTCACAATGTCCATCTGCCGTATCTTCCATCCCAGGAGTGCAGCTATCGCTAACAGCACCCTCAGTGTTGTTCCTTTCCCCACAGGAGCAAACACCTCATCATAGTCCTTCCCTTTTGTCTGCTGAAACCCCCTTGCCACAAGCCTGGACTTGTAGCGGGTCAGCTCCCCTTCAGGTCCATACTTGTGCCTGTAGATCATCTTGGAAGTGATTGCCTTCTTTCCAGGAGGCAAGTCACACAGGTCCCATGTCTCGTTCTCAATTAGGGACCCGAACTCCTCATCCTCACTCGCCTTCCACTTCTCCCCATTTGGTCCATTCAAGGCCTCTTCTCGAGTCTTGGGCTCAGGGATTGGTGCCCAGTAGCAGTGAGCGATCTCATCTTCCTCAATCTGCTCAACCACACTCCCAGCCTGCACCACATTCGGCTTGCCTCTTCCCCCATAGGTCAGCCTCACTAGAGGGCGCACATCCCTCCTAGGACGCTCAGGCGGGTGTGGAACTCGAGGTGGAGACTCATGCTGCTGCTGCTGCTGCTCTACTTCAGCTGCTCCCCCTTCTTCAGTCACCCCAGACATCTCCTCCTCAGACACTGCAACCTCCACCTGTCTTGAAGGCTGCTGCAACTCATCTGCCTCCACAATGAGTGGTGTAGATGGAAGCTTCTGTTGCTGCTGCTTCCATTCCTTGTAGTACAGGGACTCAAGAAACTTCACATCCCTTGACACTGTCAGCTTCTGGGTGGTCAAGTCCCATAGCAGCCATCCCTTGTGATCCTTTGCAATCCCCAAGTGCACACCCCATCTTCCAGAAGCCTCCAACTTCCCTCTTTTCTCCTTAGGCACATGAAACACCACCATGCACCCAAATGCCCTCAGCATGTTCACAGCTGGAGCACTCCCATACCACTTGACGTATGGGATCCACTCCTTATCTCCAACTGTAGCCAGCACCCTGTTCTTCACAAGGGCGACCTGCCTCAGTGCAGACACCCAAAACGGATCAGGCAGCCCTGCACGCCCAAGGAGAGTGCGTGCCCCCTCCTGCAGGGTCCTGTTGAACCTCTCAGCCACGCCATTCTGCTGCGGGTTGTAGGGCACTGTCAGTTGATGCTGGATCCCCTTCCTCTTCAACTCCCCCTCAAAATCAGCTCCAATGAACTCCCCACCATTGTCACTGCGGATCACCTTCACCTTGTGTCCGCATTCCCTCTGAGCTCTCGACATCCACTCCTTAAGGACAGCCGCTGCCACCTCCCCCTTGCTCTTCAAAGGGTAAACCCACACTGCCCGAGTGTGGTCATCCACAATTGTCAAGAAATAGCGGCTGCCTGAGAGGGAAGGGGCTCTTGTGGGCCCCACCACATCCATGTGCACAAGTGCAAGTGGGGTCTTGGCTGGTCCTGTAGTGCTGTTGAAGGGGAACTTGGAGAACTTGGTCTCCAAGCATGTAGGGCAGCTCCCAATCTCCTTCACTGCCCCTTTCACCTCCAAGCCCTTCAGGCTCCCATTCTTCACCAACTTCTGCAGCATAGGGAAGTTCACATGACACAACCTCTCATGCCATGTCTCCCAATCGGCCTCTCCACTCCTTGATGAAGCCTTAGCCCATGCCGCACTCGCATCCACACCAGCAAGCACCTCACCATGTGTCTGCTGCTTCTGCACTTTCTTGACTGCTTCCAGGACCCCATCAGTTGGTGCAGTTGCATCTCCTCCTGCTGTTGCCTTTGCCGCTGCTGCCGTTGCTGCTGTTGGAGTCTTCCCATTCCAAGGGATGATGGGCAGCTGCCACAGGTCCTTGATGCAGCTGGTCTCATCTTCCAGACTCCACAGCACCTTCTTCCCAAGCTTAGCACGGCAGCTGGTTGGTCCAAAGGTCACTTCGGCCTTACTCTTCTGCAGTCGCCGCACAGAGAGAAGGTTAGCAGACAAGCCTTTAACTAGCAAAACATTCCCAAGCCCCACAAGCTCCCCATTAGCTCCCTTAACCTTGGCATTCCCAACACCAATCACGGGGAGCAAAGCACCTGACGCTGCTGCCACATACTTGATCTTCCCAGGGGGTTTTACCTCATCAAGCAAATCTGCCCGTGGGGTCATGTGACTGGTGCAACCCGAATCAATCACCCAGTGCGTGAGAGGGTGCATCACAACCTTTCCGACAGATCCCACATCACCCTCATGCCCATGCACATCCTCAACCATGAGATACATCCCAGGATAGGCGTTACCTTGTGCACCTTCATCTTGCACAGCGCCACCTTGTGCGCGTTCACCACTTGGCGGCTTCATGCCTGGAGGTGCCCATCCCTCCGGCCTGCTGAAGCACTTGAACCAAGGATGCCCGACCTTCTTGCAGTACCAGCAGGTGCCCTCCATTCTGGTACTCCCCCTGCCACTGGAGCTCCCATGCCCCTCATTATAGTCACCTCGGCCTCTACCTCTGCCAAAGCTTCTCCCACGGCCTCGGCCTCTCCAACCCCCTCTTCCTCTGCCGCGCCCTGCAGCTCCATACCCCTCAGCAGTCTTAGTGGCAGCACCGCCTCCCACATGGCGTCTGCGGAAGTCCTCCTGCAGAATCTGCTGCCTTAGCCACTCAGGTGTCCATTGATCTTGCTGAGAGTTGAGGGTGGGGATGAGGTTGTCCCAAGAGTTGTCCAACACCGAGATGATCTTGGTGCACTGCTGCAGCTGAGATACACTGCTGCCCGCTGCTGCCATCCTTGCATAGGTGTCCTTGATCTTGTCAAGGACCGGCTTCACATCGTCCCCTGGTCGCATGGAGATGGCAGCAAGTTCCTTCTCGAGCACGATCACCATCAGGAGAGTGTTGGGCTGAATCACATCGCGTAGTAGTTTCCACGCCCTTGGACCCGAATCATCCGCTTCCACAAGATCCTTGATGTGCTCGAACATCTCCTTGTTGACCGATTGAAGGATGAGGTCGAAAAGCACCGCGCTTTTCTCAATCCACCGTTCACGTGCTTCGCCTTCTTCCGGCATCTTCTCTTCCCCAACAGCAATCTTCAGTAGCTTGTAGCGTTTGAAGGCACTCCTCATCCGTCCGCTCCATTCCTCATAGTTGGAGCCATCCAAAGCTTCAACTTTTGATGGCGGCGGCTCACTTGTCTTCTCAGCTACAGCTCCTCTTCCATTAGCATCTCCTCCTCTCTCATTCATCTCCTTCTTGAGAAATGAAAAATTTCAGCTCCCCTTTGCTGTCCACACTCAGCTCCCTCGATATTTTCACAAGTGTCGGCGTCCACGAAATTTCGGCAGAGTTTCCCCTTAGCGGAAGACACATCCAACCTTTAGAACACCACTTAGGCACACCCACAGGCCATGGTGGGTCTAGAAGGGTCTTCACACTTCTGTAGACTCCTCTCAATGTCCTTAATATCGCTCTGATACCTCTTGTTAGTTTTAAGGACGGAGTCTAGGTGAACTTAGGAGCTAGAATTACTCAAAATATAAATCCGAAATTCTGGACAGAAAAGTCGTCTTCACAAGAAACGACGTCGACGAAAACCTAGCCGTTGGAATGTCGCGAAACTTGGATATGTTGTAGCTCTTAATCTCAGCTACCGTTCCAAATTTGAATCATGTTGATTGATGAAGTATTCGCGACGCTATGGCTTTCGACGCATTAGGGGGTAAGCTGTAGGAGGAGAACTTAACTCAATCTCAAGAGTTCAATCAAAGTTCAAGAATCTCACAAGAAATTAGAAGGAGCAAGAGAAAGGTTGGGATAGGAAGAGAGGGATGAGAGGGGAGGTCCCAAGAGAGTCCCCAACCAAGGAAACCCCATAAGCACAAAGATTCCCTCCCTATAGGAACCTCAACTTTGACCTTTGTCCCTTCCCAACCAATCCATCCAAGTTGGCCACCCTTGCCAACCTAGCTTGGTTGTTCCCAACCTATTTGCAGCTGTTACAGTAGAGTGACAAGTTTCCCCAACCCCAAAGGTCCCAACTCCATATAAAGTCACCCCACAACTTCACTTAGTAACCGCCGCAATTGTAACGCAAGCTCATGAACTTTGAATCTTCATAGCTTTCGCGTTCTTGCTCCGATTGAAGCGATTCTTGTTGCGTCGGAAAGATCTTCTCAAGATCTATTATCACAAATACCTGCTCAAACAAAAATAACACAGAACACATTCCCAAACTCCAGAACACACCACACACAAATGCTTGCACATTCAAACCACACATGCAAGTTGAAAAAACATGGGATGGGAGGCAGACAGAATGTGATAGCATATGATGACATCACACAACATGCTTCACACTCAACAGCAGGAAGCTCTACACGCTGCGTTCACCTACACCTCTCGCCGCCCTCTCCCAAGCGCAAGCTGCCAACGCCACTCCGTGTTCCTGTCGCAGCTTCGCCAACCCAACCATCCTCTACCGGGGCGGTCATCGGTACTTTCTTACAGTAGTCGATGACCACTTGCGGTATGTTTCCATGCACCTCCTGCATACCAAGGCGGAGGCACCTGACCTCATCATGGCATGGGTGCGCCAGGCTCAAGTCACGTTCGGCACTCCTCTGAAGTGCCTCCATTCCGATGGCGGGGGAGAACTTCGCAATGGCAAACTCGATAACTTATGCGCGGCCCAAGGGATTCGGCAAACGTTCACGCTACCCGAAAGCCCACAGTAGAGCGGCATTGCAGAGAGCCGCAACCACACCTTGGTTCAGATCGCTCGCTGCCTTAGTCACGCCAACGCACTATAGTCACTCTGGGGATATGCCCTCTTCCATGCGGATTTCCTCTACAATCTTTATCCGCATCCCCACCGGCCCGACACCACACCTACCACTCTCTGGCTTGGGGCCACGCCTTCCGCCCGCTCTCTACGCATCTGGGGGTGTACAGCGCATGTGTTGCTCAGCCCCCACACGCGCAGGAAGCAAGGTGGCAATCTTGGTCCCAAAACCCAGACCTGCATGTACCTGGGGCACAACTCCGACTCCCCAGACTACTTATTCCTCAACCCCATCACCAGACAACTGATTCGCAGCCGTGATGTCGTCTTCGATGAGACACGCCCCTTCCACTCTGCGACCACAGGCGAGCCTCCTCCACCTCCCCCGACGCTTGTATTGGCAGACTTCGATGCCTCACCTCCGGTTGCTGCCCCTTCTCTGGGGCCTTCTTCGTCCGGCGTGTCACACCCGGCCTCCCCGGTATCCTCCGCAGCGGCACCTCCTCCTGCTCCGCCTTCCCCGCGTGTCGAGCCTGGCTCACCAGTCTCCTACCGGAGGCACCCAGTCCCTCCGGTCCTACCGCAGCCGCCTTCGTCTCCAGTCTCTAGTCGCACTCGTTCCAAGGGACCGGCTCCGCCTCTCGCTTGGGGACCAGCCGCCTTCTCCATCTAGTATTCGATCATCCCGCCTCCTCCTGCCGGGGGTGATGTCCCCTCCATCTGTATCTCCCCCCCGTGCACTTCTAGAGGACAGACATGAGGAGCTGTTTGACCTTCACGCGGTCTGCCAATTTCTCTCTCACATCTTCCCAGACATTACTGACTACCCTTCCCTCAACTTCACCAAGAACCCAACCATTCCGACTCCTCGCACAAAAGAGGAAGCTGTCTCGGGGCCTTAAGAAGGATTGAAAGGCAGCAATGGATGTGGAGAACGAGGCGTTCATTCGCAACAACAGCTTTGACGATGTCGTTCCCCCTTCCGGTGTCAACTTCGTCGGCGGAAAATGGATCTTCCGAGTGAAACAACTCCAAAGCAAAGCTCCACTGTTCAAGGCACGATACGTGGCGAAGGGTTTCACCCAGAAGGAGTATCTTGACTTCTTCGAAACCTTCTCGCCCATGGCCAAGCTCCCGACTGTGCGCGCTCTTCTTGATATAGCCGCTCGTGGCAACTTCGAGATCAAGTCCATGGACGCCTCCTCCGCCTTTCTCCAAGGCCAGCTCAAGGAGGATGTTCACATGGAACGCCCACTGGGTTTTCCTGGCACTTACCCTGCCAACACAGTGTAGAAGCTGAAGCGCCCAGTGTATGGCCTCAAGCAGGCTCCTCGTGAGTGGCACAACAAGGTGAAGGAAGTCCTCATCGCACTTGAATTCCATCCCTCCGCCTCAGATTCTAGTCTCTTCATTCGTCACTCCTCCGAGCCCTTCTACATCCTCGTCTACGTCGACGACTTCATTCTATTCACCAGAGATCCTGCCGAGATGGCAGCTGTCTAGTCTGCTCTCAGCTCCGCCCTTCTCATGAAGGATCTTGGTGACCTCAAGAACTACCTGGGGATGGAGATCACTCGTGACCGCCAAGCTTGCACGATCACGCTCTCCTAGGAGTCCTACATTGACAACCTTCTCAAGCATTTCGACATGGACTCCAGTAACTCTGTCTCCACTCCACTCCCACTACAGCATCAGCTCACGACCCCTGCGATTCCTTCTCTATACGCCTGCAAGGACCCGTACCCTGAGCTAGTCGGTTCACTCATGTATGCCATGATGTGCACTCGACCAGACTTGGCTTACCCAGTTAGTGTCCTCTCTCAGTATGTCTCCCTCGAACGCTGCAGTGCTTCCCATTAGTCTGCAGCCCAGAGGGTCCTCCGATATCTACAAGCCACCAACTCTCACATCCTCACTCTCGGTGGTACCTCTCCAGTCAAGCTCCAGGGATACACAGACTCCTCATGCTCCTTGACCGGGTTTGCAGTCTATGGGGGTGTGTTAGGAATAGATTTCAAATCCCACTTTTGTATTTGTACTTTTATATCCTAGTTTAGGCTAGGAATGTTCTAGTGGGTTGGGGTGTACTCACAAAATCCCAACCTGACCCAATTGTGATCCCCCCAATCTCCAATTACCCAATTGGAGATTCCGGAGATCCCACAAATGGACTGAGGTACGGACGGCGACCGAGCAGACCGCCACAAGATAGCACCTGCACCAAGGCTGAAGCAGTAGCCCTGTGACGACCTGAGCATCTCCAAGACGTCAGCCCACGACGCATCTGTATTTCCAATGAAGACCACTGGTGTCCGTCCTTCGAGCACAAGCCCCAGGCTTGAGGTACTCGTGAGATATCGCAATACCCTCTTAGCAGCCGACCAGTGCTCTGGTCGATGACTGCCAGTCACGACGAAGCGAGCTAGGATGCTGAGAGGTCATGCAAGATCTGGACGAGTGCACGTCGTCAGGCACATAAGGCATCCCACCAGCTCTGTGTAGGGACCACTGGGCTCGGCTGGCTCACCGGAGACAGGAGCTGAGAGCTTGTGGTCCACAAGAATTGAAGGCCGAACCTCTAGAGAATCTGCTGCACTATGGGGACTGGGAGATGGTGACTGTGCACGCTGCATGGTCACGAGAGATCTCCAAGCCCAGATAGCGCTGCAACCCTCCCAGTTCTGTGCACGCATATCTCCTGAGCAGCTCGGCCTTCACTGAGGTCACTGTGACCTTGTCTAGTATGTTAAAGATGAGGTCATCTATGCTCATCAGAATATAGAAAGGAGTCTGACCAGCATGGACAAAAGTGAGGGGTGAGCATAGGACGGAAAGAAGTGGAGAGCCGCTAGTGTAGTGCGGAGCCTGTTGTGCCACTCATGGGGTGCCTTGCGTAGATTGTAGACAGGGCACCGTAGGCTCCACTGGGTCCCAGGTGGGAATGACCCAGTGAAGCCTGATGGGCGCTGCAAGTAGATCTGCTCATGTAGGCAGCCTTGTAAGAAGGGTGCCGAGAAGTTCAACGAGTGGAACTCGTAGTCACGCTATGCGGCTATGTGGAGGAGCACCCGAAGAGTAGTTATCTTTGGGGTGGGGGAAAAAGCTGGAAGAAGTGCACACCCTCATACTGGCTGAAGCCTCTGGCCACATACCGCTCCTTGAACTGCAACGACTCTTCAGATGGGCGCTTCACCTAATAAATCCACAAGCCATCGACTATGTTCGCCCCAGGGGGGGAACTGCAACGATGTAAGTGCTAGTGGCTCTATAAGTTGTCATCGCTACCTCCATCACCTGTATCCATTGGGCTGCCCATGGCCCCGAAACTGCCTCAACGTATGAGCGCGGGGTAGGGATGTTTAGGGCATGGGGGTCGCCCTCAGGGGTGCAACGGCCGCAAAGAAAGCTAGCTTGTACTTCCTATCCTCTGGGACGTCATTGCCAAGGGTAGGTGCACCCCCAACAGACGGAGGATGGGCAGCGTCAGAGACCAGAGCAGAGGCGTAGTCAAGACGGTGGCACGCGTAAAGCCAGCGTTAGCAGCAACAAAGGTGAGACGCCTATAGGAGGGTCCGTAACAAGAGAGGCAAGTAAGCAGGAGCCCACTAGACGAGTAGTGCAAGCAAAATTTGGGGGAGGAGCGGAGGAAGGGGGTAGGGACGATGGAGGAGGTAACGGCAGGACAGGGACTAGAGGGGCACAAGAATGAAGGACCACAGAGTGGACACGAGCACGAGAAGAGACAGGACGACGCACCCACGGGTGGGCAATATGGGACGGAACAGTGGACGGAGGAGAACGAGGGGGAAAACGACTCGGAGACGAGTCCGGGGGAGGGAATAGTGGGCTGTAGATGAGGGATGGCGGGAGGGGAGGTGCTGTGGGAGGCACGGGCTGGCGGTCAAGGGAACCAGAGGAAAGGTTGAGGAGACGAAGGGCAGACTGCAGCGGGTGCTGCTGTTGCTGCTCCACGCCAGGACCCCAATCCCCACCACTGCCACCACCAGTACTCACCGAGTCAGCAACCCCCAGGATTAGCACCCCCAGAGTCAGCACCCCCATAACCCTTCCTTTAGGGCCCACAGTCCCCCGCCGCTTCTGCAGCTGCGGCTGTGGTAACGGTTGCGGCGCGGCTGCCACAGTGGGGGGTGCTGCTGAGGGGCACCGGGGTTGGGGGGAGGGATGCCACAGCTAGAGCAGGCGCACCCCTAGCCACGGGGCTCCCAAAGTCAGGAGACTCCCCCACTAGCTCGTCAAACATAACATTGCGGGAGCGAAAGAAGCGGTGCTGCACCGGGTGGTAAAACAGCCAATCAGGAGCATCAAGCGGGAGCCTAAGGAAGACACAGGGAGGGTGTGTGCCAA